AGTTTCTGGGTCTCTTTCCTGCCAATCTCTATCTCAAAAGAGCTTTCCATGGCTGGATTTCAACTTCTTCCTCAGGGCCTACTTCCACTCTTCCTACCCCTCGCCCACAATCTAGCAGTTTCTTTATCTTAATCCTCTGAAAACCAAGGCTATCACCATCTTTTCACAGATGTGGAGTAGAAAGAGAAGGAACTCTTGGTACCATGGCAGGAAACAAATGAGTGTCTCTGTAACTCAAAAAGTGGCTACCCTCTCTAGTCTAGAGGACACAACTGTGACTGAACAAGCAAAGACCATGAGAGACTGAAAGGGTGGGCTCCAGCTGCTAGCGCTATGTTTGTACGAAGCTAACAGGACAAATAGGATGTGTCTTTATCATTAAAAAGAGGACACTATGTAAAGATAATATAAAATCACCGTAATTTCTAAATCAACCTCTTTATTTGACCCAATTCCCTTTTAATTCAAGGTTTAGAGGACTGGCTAAGATTTCTAAGGCTTGCTGAACACTGTAAGGGACAGATGGTATCATACATGTGTAGACACAGAAGCTTAAGTCTTCCTGCAATATCTGGCTTAAATGGAGAAAAAAAGAAGGGCTTGCAATAGGATTAAAATGGCACCATAATCTTCAAAGGTAATGTTTCAATTTGTTAAAATGACAACTTCTCAAGGGCCAGGGATTTAGTTCAGTGGAACCTGCCTCACAGGCATAAGGTCCTGAGTTTGATCCCCAGTACCAGGGGGGAAAAAAAAAAAAAAAAAAACAATGAATAGAATGAACACTGGCTTAGTAGCCCAATACAGAGTGTTGCCTGGGCCACTGGTTCTCAAGGTGTCAATATAAGAACCACAGAGCTGGGTGTGGTGTGCACACATGTAACCCCAGCACTCTGGGAGGCTGAGGCAGGAGAATCATAAGTTCAAGCCCAGCCTGGGAACTTGGCAATTCAGTAAAATCCTGAAAAATAAAACCTAAAAATGTCTGGGGATGTAGCTCAGTGAGAAGCTCTGGGTTCAATCCCCAATAGGGCAAGGGGGAAAAAAAAAAAAAAAAAACACGCCCAGATCAGAGAAGGCAAACTGGAACGCTAAAAGAGAATCCACGTGTGAATGTTTTGAATTCATAAGCAGACAAGGTAGCTATGTCAGTGCTGCAACATACACATAAAGCCCCCTAAACATTAAGCAAATAAAAACGTGTACATGTGTACATGCATGCACACACGTATACATGGTACTACAGAAAAGCCAGACATTCACACCCATCAGAAACCCTCAATTCTGCCTTGAAGCAAAAATCTTAATCAGGTTATAAATCGCTCTCATATCACTATACAGAGTCACTTGATCAAGTGTTGAAGCCTAAGTAACAAAATGTGACTCATGGGATCAGATTTTTAAAGTTCTTTTTTTCAGAAGAAAAATGAACATCATCTAATCAAGCCTGCAGCTGAGCCTGCAGTTTAAAAAAAGGAAAAACAAAATATATGTATCATGTCACAGGAGAGGGGGCGGAGGAGGGAGCAGAGGGAAAGAAAGACAGACAGACAGACAGACAGCACACAAGCAAGCTAAGTGTATACTCTTAACCACTATAGAAAAAAGGAAACCATTTATTTCCAGCCCCACCATCCTTTGCTGGACAAGGCTCTCTAAACTGTATGACTGTCTATGTTAGGCACTCATTAGACACACACATACAGCTACAAGGGATAAGGACAAGTGACACAGGACATCTGTAACAGTGCCCAGATGCTAGAATCAGAGGGACTGCTACACAGTACACGGAGATAAAAAATTACTGTCACAAACAGGGTGGCATAATCACAGATCTCATCCACTCCAAGACATGATGAGGGCAGCAGTTTATTTTCAAAGACAAAAGTATGATTAATAATGCTAAGAAAATGTTTACTAAGCACTTCTGCAATGGGAACTTACTTTTATTTCATTTAATCCTCACAACTACTTCCTGAGGTAGATACCAATGTTCCTTTCAGAGATGTGGAAATGACCTCAGAGTTAAAAGTTGCAGAGGTTCATACAACTGCAATGATGCAACATAGTGTGAAAAGTAGACCGGTGAGTTGCCAGGCACGAGCTGAAGAGTCAAATTGCTACATGACCACATCTCACCTACCTCTGAGTAGCACTGGATCTGGTGCTCCTGAAACAGCAGGTACCATGCAGCTTCTCCTACAACCCCTGCCTGTTTCCAAAGACACAATTCTCACAAATAAAGCAAAGCAGCTGCACCTGCCCCACAGGACGACTGGGAAGATTAAATGTAACCCTGTACAGTAGCTGGCACCAAGGAAGTTTCTTTTCCCCATCTACTCTAGTGAACACAGCCCACAAATAGTGCAGTAACTGGGAAGGAAGACACCTCCACGGGATAAGGAAATGTTTCAGAGACCATAGGGACTGGGAGCGCTGCTCAGTAGTTAAGTGCATGCTTAACACACAGGAGAGCCTGGGTTGAAACAATAAGAAAACAAAAAGACCAAGGGACTGGCACTAGTTTTGAATTTTTTTGGAAGTACACAGGTAAGGCAGTAGTGTTCTGTTGAAGCACCTAAGTGGGACGACTCACAGAAGGCCTTACTGATGAAGAGGCCGTACAGTCACACCAGTGATGGACAACCTTTCAGAGTTTTAAATGATAACCAACAGCTTACTGCAGCAAGTGTTTCACAGGCTCGCCACAAATGACCTACACCTAGCCAGCCACCACTTACACACGAGCGATTTTCTGTACATCCCCCTGGGAGTGGGTCCAGAGCAGAATTCCATGTTCCTTCTTGGCCTAATTACCACATACCTTTTCTCCAACTATTACTCTTCCCTCAGTACCATGATAAAGACAGTTACAAACAAGAGGGCCTGCTGAACACAAGAAGATGCTGTGAAGCTGAAGTCTTCAGGAGTGGACTGCCACACTGTACTCTCAGCAACAATCATCTCTCTTATTCTTTATTTCCCTTCACAGCAATAAATGGATCATTTAAGTGGGTATGCTTGATTATCCAAGTTACTTCTGAGTTCACGGTGATTCACTAAAATTCAGTTAGTAACTCAATTTACAAAAGTACCCGAATCCATCATTATTTTGCTGAAGTGAACAATCAAAAGCACAGCAGCAGAAAGATATCACTGTGGGACAGCATCCCACCCGAGTAATACTAAGTTATTATCTGACAGAGAAGGGAAAAAAGGGTGGGAATGAAGCAAGAAGACTGCAAATTCGAGGGCAGCCTAGGCAACTTAGCAAGCCCATGTCTCAAAATAAAATTAAAAATAGAAGCCAGGCGTGGCGGCACACACCTATAATCCCGGACTCAGAAGGCTGAGGCAGGAGGATTGCTAAGAGTTCAAGGCCAGCCTGAACTACACAGAGAGGCCCTGTCTTATAAAAAGTGTGTGTGTGTGTGGGGGGGGTTGTTTAAAATGTAGCTCAGTGTTTGCATAGCCGTCAGGGTAACTTTGGTTCAATCCCAGGCCTGGAAAAAAAAAAAAAGAGTGCTCTTCTACCACTGGCAAAATGATAAATTCACATTACCCCCCCCACAAAAAAACCCCTCTAGAATTCTAAACATTTCTTGTAGCATCACCACCAGACAGTTAGTGCCCCTGGAAGGAGATGCCCCTTTGGGAGTGATGGCAACCTTGGAGGAGTCCCAACCCACCTGCTGCTTAGCACAGCACTGCTATTTAGAAAGCCAGCATTAAATCTCCTCTGACTCGAGTCAAGAGTCTACCACCAGAAATCTGGGAAAGGGTGGAAACATTCTGTAAATCCCTTAGAGTAAATTTAGATCATGTATACCAAGTCTGATCCTTAATTTATAAGTGACATATATCACTTTCTGGGTGTTAAATTTCTAGTCTTGGTGATTAAGTTGGAAGAACTGTGAATTGAACTCTACTCAGAAAACAAATATGAAAAGAAAATAAATCATGAATTGGGCCAGGGATGTAGCTCAGTGGTGTTTCCGCCTGCCTTGCCAAGAGCAAGGTTCAATCCCTGGTAACAAACAACAACAAACAAACAAAAACAACAAAATAAATCATGAATCATTTCTTATAAAACAAAGACTTTTTCTTCCCTTTAGCTGAAGTCTGACAACAATGGAGAACCACTCAATGAATTATCTGTGGGGTGTTATAGTAAACCTCTCTATTTGCAAGCAACTAGCTCCTAGACTTTATTTATCAATGCCCTGTGATGGGCTCCCACCTGAACAGATTGGTTACCAAGAAAACCTTGTGGGTGGAAAATCGCTCAGGGCAGGTTTGGGTTTCTATGGTCCTCCTCTCTTGCCAAATTAGCGCTAAATAACTTACCATCCACACTTAAAAGCTTTCTGTAAGGGTTTGTCATTTAGTATAGTATAAAAAAAAAAAAGGCATTTAGTATAGTCATTTAGTATAGTGGATGTCTTTCAAATGCATTATATTTCTATAGCAATTCACACTACACCAGGCCACTGCTTTTTTTTTTTTTTTACTTGCATGAATAAAGCAAAGGTGCACTCTACTAAAAAACAACTACTCGCCACAGAAAGTGTTCTCTGGTGTCCTGCTTTCTAAAACGTTAACTATCAAAAGGCCAAGAATATGAGCTTCAGTGAATGGAATTTGTTCAGTTTTCACTAAGACAATTTTAAACTATAAACATTCATTTAACATGGATTTTTCTTCTGCTTTAAGTCTCAAAAGAGAATGTTACTATCCCCAAGGACTAAATCACTCGACTCTTTTAAGAGTTATCAGAATAGCAGTATGCTGAAAGTGACAGTCTGGCTCTATTCTGTTTGTTAATACAGTCCAGACTTGCTGACCAACTGCAACTGGCTTTAAGTCCTTATCACAAATAAAACCATTTTTTGGTGCCATTTCTATTTTTCATTTAAACGCCACCAGCTCTTCAAGACTCAGGACCTGTCAAGTGTTCTGTTGCCCAGACTCTGCTTGTCAGAAAGGTCAACATTCAGTACCTTCCAGTTGGGTCCCAAAGGGCCTCTCTTGGTCTTGACTGACTGGAATAATGCTGGGTCTTCATTAGCTTTGTAGTCCTGTAAAGCAAAACAAAGTCAGAGGCAGAAAAAATTCTTTAACCTCGCCAGAACAGCTACCAAAACTCACAATAGAAACTGATTAAAACTTACCATGCTTTCGCATACAAGTAGCAAAACGCTTCTATTAGACATTAAGTTTTCACTTTTGCTCCCTTTGCTTTAAGTTTTTTTTATCTTAGGCAAAACAACTCTGTAATTAGTAATAAAAGCCTTGTGTGGCAATCTACTATAACTAGCGTACAGCCATCTTTGAAAATGAATTTGCCAACATTTTCCAACAGTTCTGAGAATTCTGATAGGAAGAGAACTGTATTTATGAAATAATACATGCCACCTCACTTTTGGCAATCCCTGCAGACAGCAACCCTGGACTGTTCACAGCCACACAGAGCAGCCACTATGACTGGGAACACATAACCCTAACTGTGGCTTCCCCATGTCCTCCATGACTCGGTCTTTAGGGGAAATTTACAAGTTCTTCATCAACCCTCCACATCCCAGTCCAAAGAGAGCTGTGAGCTACTGAAACCTCAGCTCCTCGTGGAAGAGGGGCTGCACTGGTGCTGACCCTTACTGTCCAGGGAGGCAAGCAAAGGGTGTCACGGGGTGGCCTCAGGTACGTCATGCCATGGAGCAGTGCCCCTCAAGTCTATGTTTCTTCCAAGGTTCTAGTGCAGTGATGGGGAACCGTTTAGAACTTTCAATGGTGACAAACAGCACACTGCAGCATGCATGCCATAGGTCTGCCACCAGGGCCCTAATACAGGGAAGCTCTATTCCCTTTAGTATCTTCTTCCTGACAAAATGAAGGAAACAAAAAAATTTTAACCTATCTGCTTTATAAAAGTTCTCTTATCATTGCACGTACATATATTCTAAAGAAATAAAAAATGGCTTTTGAAACGCCAAAAAATTGAGTTATAGTAACAGCAGAGAGAGACCACTGGGTCAATTTAGAATGCGACAGAGAGAAGGGGGAGGAGTGGCTCTTTCCTTTTCAAGTAGAATTCCTGGAGAGGGTTCTTCTTAGCATTTGTCAAGGAATCACATACTTTAGGGAAAATGCCCAGGCAAGTCAGATATGAAACTCCAGCAAAACAAGTATTAAAAAAAAACCCACAAAACCCACCATTCTAGAGATTAGGACAGTTCAAGAACACACTGAGCATGCTCTGAAGTGTAATACAAACTTTCCAAATCAAGGAAACATGTTGAGAAGCACTGGAGACTCAAGGGTTACTCAGCAAATGCACGTGGCATGTTAATCCCTAGGGAGAAAGTTATAAATACATTGCGTGAAGAAGAAAAGATGCAAGATCCAGGAAGAAAACAAAACTTTAAAGAAAGATAAAAATTGGGTAAGTATGTGACCCTGAATTGCAGCCTGTCTAAAGTTATCTAAGAAGCTACAAAAAAGCCCCACAAAATATCCCAGTTTCTCTTATATAAGAAACCCAAAATATAAATAAATAACAAAATAAAAGTTAGATAATAGGAAGCAGGAAGATAAGTCTGAAATGAGAAGGGTATCAAGAGCTGCAGGAAGGGAGAGGGAAGGAAAAGAGGGGGGATAAAGGGAGAGGGAGGGAGGGGAAGGAGATATAAAAAGAATTAAGATGTTAAGATAGTTTATGTACATGTAAACTCCCCACAAGGAATGCAATCATTATGAACCATAAACATATACTACTGAAAATAAGAATTAAAAAAAAAAAAACAAAAAAACCAGGTCCCACAATAGCTTATAATTATTAAACAAGAAAACTTACTTGGACATACTGGATTTTAACATTTAAATAATCTGCCAAAAAAATGTATACAGGGCCAGGGATTTAGATCAGTGGTTCCACTCCTACCTCACTCCTGCCTGGCAAGCACAAAGACACGAGTTTGATCCCCGTACCAAAAAAAAAAAAAAAAAAAAAAAAAAAAAACACACCTTGGTCGGGCACCAAAATCA